TTTTTTGTAAGACTTTTTTTTTTTTTTTTTTTTTGCAGAACCGAAGATTGAACTCAGGATCTTATGCTTGCCAGGCAAGCATTTATCCTACTGAGCCATCTCCCCAGCCCCTGAAAAGCATTTCTGAGGGTCAGCCAAATAGCTCAGTGGATTAAAGGCCTGGAAACAGGCACAGGGGCAGGGGGTTCAATCCCCAAGCCTGCTGGGCCAGCCCCTTTCTGGGGCGTGCAGAGACAGTGATTGAGACTGGGCGTGGTGGCATGCACCTGTAATCCCAGCTCTTGAGAGGCTGTAAACAGACGGATCCTCACAAGTCCGATCTAGTAATAAGACCCTGAACACCCTGTAGATCCTTCCCTAAAATACAAAAAAAACCAACAACAACAAAGCACTTCTGGAATGACATCAGCCGAGAGTTAAAATAAGTGTTCCTGAATGGTCTCTCATCCATGAGCAATGAAAGATCTCACAAAAATGGTCACAGCCTTTTCATAATGCTGAAAGTTAAGAGGTTCACAGCGGTCTCAGCAGCATTTATTCAAGAAAAGCACCAGAGTCTCAGGAAGCATAGTAGGACCTGTGGCTTCATAACTTACTTGACCACATCCTCACATGAGCAGGAGATGTGACCACAGCCTGAAGTAATGATTGCCTGGCAGCCCTTGGAGAAGTAAGATGGGATGGGACCTCACTGGAAACCACATTTCCAGTGAGAATTCCCACTCTTTCTCAGTTGTTCTCTAAAAGCTCTCCAACAAGGCTGTGTTTATTTAACCCGACTTGGAGCTCAAGCACAGAACAACCTTCTCACCTGGAGAGTTTGTTTACTCTCAAGACAATCAGAGGTAGATGCTGCATGCTGTTGAGCTACCCTAAATTGAGCTAATAAGGAAACAGCTGGGGAATGCTAACTTCATAGTGGACTTGGTGAAGGGGACTACACATGTGCCCAGGTTCACGGGTGTATACTCAGGAAAGACCTAGGAAAGCCTTGAGATCTTATCTCTGGGTAACTCTGAGGTCCCTTAGCAAAGGTACACTTGGCAAAGTCTGGGAGACTTACTGCCTCTAAACATCTGCAGAAATCTCTGCTCATTTATTAACTGACCATTACGCTACCAGAAAAATGACTTCAGTGGTCACTTGTGACAAGGCATATAGACTATGCAGAATTATCTTAGAAAAGTCACTAAGCTAAAAAATGAGCAATGATAATAAAATTGAGAGGGGGGATCTGATTCACAAAGTTGTCACATTACATTATTTAAAAGGTATAATTCTCTAGCAAAAAATTATAAAATGTGGAAGAAAACATAGCTCAGACACAGAGGGGAAAAAACAATAAAACTGTACTTACACTGAGAGATGTCCTTGCCTTACTACATAGCCTCTTTCATACTAGAGTAATACTTTTTTTTTTCTTTTTTGAGACAGTCTTGCTATTTGGTTAAGCTGACTTTGAACTT